ACAAAGAGTATATAACTCAAGTAATTGCCTGGAATCACGAGCAAGCAGCAAAAAAAGAGTCAGACTATATTATCTTACTTTGGTGACAAAGAAGATCAAAACATACAACCAAAAGACAATGAAGCCAAAGCTCCTAAATCCAAAGCCCCCAAGAAAAATATGAATTGCTCCCAGGTCATGGAAGAGCTCAAAAAGGATTTTGAGAAACAAGTAGGAGAAGTAGAAGAAAAACTGAGAGTGATGCTAAAGGAGACCCCCCCAAAAAAATACTGAAGAAAATAACACCTTAAAAAATAGCCCCTAGCTCTTCAGTTGTCTGTAAAGTGCTTGGTTCTTCTTCGGGAGCTAAGGCCCAGTTGGGGTGACCCCTCACTTCATCTGAGAGTTTCCAAAGATTATGTATAACCATTTTTGAGTTATTTCAATAGCGAAGAAGTTGCAGGGGTTTTGTTAGTCTAATTAAAAACAAGTCAAGGGACAGCTAGGTGGCACAGTGGGTAGAGCACCGGCTCTGGAGTCAGGAGGACCTGAGTCCAAATCCAGCCTCAGACATTTGACACTGACTAGCTGTGTGACCCTGGGCAAGTCACTTAACTCTGACTGCCTTTCAAAAAACTCCCAAACAAGAAAACAAAAAACCTAAGTCATTATGTTGTACTGCATTTGTCAAAATGAATGAGTGATTCTGAGAAATACAACAGATATTATGACCCATTTAACTACTACACAAAGATTGTTTAACTTCAACTTGACATACTTCATGTTCAGATGCTTTAAAGAGTGTGATAATATAACTTGGCTGTGTCACAAACCCATACATAATGCCAATGATACTTGCAGATTCTACATGTACCCAGATTTGACTCAGTTTTCAATTGAAACTTGAACTCATCTATACAATCGTAAATAGCTACTGCCCTCACAGCTAGTGAGAATTCATTTTGAGTCTCAGACTCTTAGTTGACTCTGGCTTCAACTTTATTTTCATTGAACAAAATGTCTGAACTGAATTTAGATGTGCGTTGTATTAAAAAAATATACAATAATTTTGGCGATTGCTTCACCAGAGGGGAACGACCCACATTTTGGAAAAATCTAGTTTAGAGGGAGGAGGCCGTCCCCTCTTTTTTTCAACCAACTTTACTTCTTGGGTGAGTTGCTGATTGACATCAAGACAGGCAGCATGGTTTGTTTTTGCACAGGTTTACTTGATATCTGTTGATAGCTCTGTCAGTCAACCAGAATGCAGCAACACTGAAGGAGAATGTCCTGCGCTTTCCCTTCCCCTCCACTGACCTAGGGGAAGAGGAAGTCTCTGAAGTCAAAGAACTGATACTCAAGTCTACTTCAGGCACTTTCCTGATCTACTTGGGTGAATCATTTAATCTGCCCGGGTCAGATGAGGTACGAGGTACCTGATATCTCCAGTTTGATGATCCCCTTGTTCCCAAAGAATAGCTGATCCTCCACCAATGCACCAACCCAGAAATCTAGGAAGGTAATTGCAAGTTGCTAATATGTCAAGCAAATTGTAAAAAGGGTAGCTCTTTTCTTAGCATCACCACACCCCATTGTATGAATTTATATCCCTTTTCTGTTTGGTTTTGGTTTTTTTTTTGAAGGGGGATTGTTGTTGTTGTAGTTAGATAGTTAACGGACCTGTTTTTAAATCACGAAGGGGGTGCTGGTGATAGATTTGGATAAAGTGAATGTCAAAAGAAGAGAAGTCTTGGGAAGTGTGTGGAAATGGCAATGGGAAGCGGGGAATATTCTGACTTCCCCCTAAACCTCCTTGTGACTAGGACACAAACCCATATCTGATTGGGTGAAGGAAGCAGCAAGCAATTTGGCTAAGAGAAGACATCAGTCACACCTCTGGGAGTTTTAAATAGCTAAGCTGTAGCTGAAATTCAGCAATTTGGGTTCAAGAGTGGGAGCAGTTTCAGGTTAGAAGGAGGAGATCTCTGCAGGGGAGAGGAGAGAGTTTCTCTGTTCTCCCTGTCCAGATGCCAATCAGCCCCTTAAGCTTTGAAAGATAGCTACTTGGCCAGGAGGAGCCACATTCATTTGGGAAGCAAGAGACCCAGACTTCGGTGTCACCAGAGGAAGGCCCTAGGTACCCATTAAACATTCAGGGGGCCCTTTACTGAAAACTGTAAGAGATAATCTCCCTTACAGGAATCTCTAAGAGACAAGGCAGCATAAGTGTAACTGTACAGTCGGAACAAAAGGGAACAATCAAGCATGTTAACATCCATCTAGACAGCAGGCCTTGGTTTCAGCTGTCTGACTTCAGCAAGTCCTCTGCTTCTGAGAAATGTTTTTCCCTGGCAATGCTGATTCTAAGGTGTCTGTTCTAGACCACTGCACATCATCTGTTCAGTGGGGTCCACTTACACCAAAAGACTTGCATCCTGAATCAACACCTTGAAGATTTTCATTGCTGTGTCAGTTGTGAGGGATAAGGGCAGAGTTGCTGAGGTGTTTCACAAATGCCACAAGGTTTCAAATCACGCAATGCTCCTTGCAGCAGTTCCCTAGGCAGCACCACTGCAACCTGCTCGGGAGAAGACTTAGTATAACTTAGCAGCGCATGACAAAACCTAATCACATTGGTCTTCTGCAGAACTTATTACATGTGGTGAAAGCCACTGCAAGGAAATAACACAGTGTGGAAACTGAGTCAAGAGGATTCTGCCACTACCTTCTTAAGACTGTCCTCTCAACCTTCCCAGCAATCCACATCTACCTGTGTGACTGTAGCATTTGTTGGTGGCAAGATGACACTTCCCGTGAGCATCTATGGGAATTTTCCCTTGCAATGGTGGACTACTAATGTAACATTAAGGCAAACGCTTAAATCTGGTTTCCATACTCAGATCAAATCAAATTACAAACCCAAGAGGCTCCACTACACGTAGCAAGTTTCACTACTTACAAATTAAATTGGGGAACCATTGTTTCTCAAGTTTATGCTAAAATCGTTAGGCTCAAAATACTTAAGTGAAAATATGCATCCTTAGTTAGGGCTTACTAGCCATGGACTAGGACTTCCCCAAAAGATTTCGGTTTTGTTTCCACCTCCCCTCCCCCCCAATAACCTTCCTACATTCAGAAACCAAAAAGCACTCAACTGTCTCTCCCTCTCTTTGTCTCTGTGTGTGTGCACTGAGGCTGGTTCCGTTTCTTACTGAAAGAAACATATTCATCCTTTTTCCCTTCCAAGATATATAACTGTGATCCTAAGATTTAGGTCTAGAAGGAAGGGACCTTAGAAGTCACCTAGTCTAAACCACCTGCCCCCACCCCCGACGCCCTCATTTTAAGTATGAGGAAATGGAGGTCTTCACTTAGGTGACTTGACTTTCCCAAAGTCAACCAGGGAAAAGCAGCAACAGGCCACTTGGCCCCCAATCCAGTGCTATTAGAATTTATGCCTCTACCTAAGAGCTCGGAGCTGCGTCGTTTTTCATCTTGGTTGTGTGCAGTCTATTGCACGGAATAGGCGTTTCACAAAACGGCCGTTGAATGGACAGCAGCAGCTCCAGGGCCCCGGCGGAGCCAGGGGCGCTTTTCCCACCAGCCGGAATCCCGCCTCGGGGTGGGGCGTCAGCATCGCGTCGTCCCGGCCGCTCTACTCCCCGCGTCGGCGTCGCGACCCCATTGGCCAGAGGGTCCCCCTTCCAACATCCAGGAAAGGTAGTGGCTTCAGAGGCCCTGCGTCAACCCCGCCTCAAGCAGCTTCCCAGAGATCCACAGCTTTCCCTGCTTGGCTGTTGTCCTCCCCCGTGCCAGTTACCATACATTGGGAGCACGTGGAATCAGCAACACAGCACTTTAACCCATCCTCCTCCCCCGGACCCATTAAAGAGTCGCTGCCAACCCTATCCAGAACATCCAAGACGGCCCCGGGAAGCTTAGGAAGCCGTCCGCGGGCACAATCAAGGCCCCAAAGCCTGGCACAACTCTTTAGTGAGGAGATGGGCGGCCCTAAAAAGGGCCTTTTTTGGTAGGTGCGCTGGTGGCAGTGTTCAGGAGCGCAAGGCCAGCGGCCTAGCCGCCGAAGCCGTAGAGCGTGCGGCCCTGGCGCTTGAGGGCATAAACGACGTCCATGGCGGTGACGGTTTTCCTTTTGGCGTGCTCCGTGTAGGTAACGGCGTCACGGATCACGTTCTCCAAGAAGACCTTGAGCACTCCGCGGGTCTCCTCGTAGATGAGACCCGAAATGCGCTTAACGCCACCCCGTCGAGCCAAACGGCGGATGGCAGGCTTGGTGATGCCCTGGATGTTATCCCGCAGCACCTTCCTGTGCCGCTTGGCACCCCCTTTCCCAAGCCCTTTCCCTCCCTTGCCACGACCAGACATAGCGACAGACAAAGAAGAACTAATTCGGTGCCCGAGCGCCTGCAGCGACGGTATATATAGGGAGCGGCCTATCCCGCTGCCGGACCTCTTTGAGAACAGGAAAGCGGCCAGGGGGCGGGGCAGATAGGAAGTGGGAGCGAGCGAGAGGGGAATAAGCGGTAAGCTCCACCCTGAAAGGGCTAATCTGCAGCTTGCTCTTGGCTGAGAGGAGGGAAAAGGGAACCTTGTGGCAGTCTCTTCTGATTTTTTCCAGAAGACCCTGGTTCTTCAGTTCAATTCAGTTCTGTAGTGATATTATTCCCTTTGAGTTTCTGTTTCGCACGCTTTGCGTTGCCGTTCTTGAAAGATGTAGTGGGAATCTATGATTGGTGGTGGTGGGGTTTCCTCCCCACCAAAGACTGCCTTTCCCCCCTCCCCCACACCTTTTTTCATTTTTCTGGTAAGAAAGTTGTCTTGCTGAATAAAAGCGCTGCCATCCCCTAGCCATGACAATAATAATTGTCATGTAATGACAATGCGCGTACAAACGACCATGTCTCCCAAAACAAAGGCATTATTTCGAGTGATGGGTTCAAATAGATCTCAGATGGCAGGATTGTCATCAGCTCTTCCCTCCCTCTCTCCTTTCGTTTCCTACCCTCCTACCTCCATACAATCTTCTCTTTCCTTTTTAAAGATGGGGGGGGTTGATTGGGTTGGAGGAGTGGGTCAAGGCAAGGTGGTCGGGAGATGGAGGAAGGTAGTCCTTTGACCCTTCCCTTCACCTCTGACACCTCCCCCCCCGCCCCCGCCACGGCCCACCCCCGCCGGATGCCTACCTCCAGGGACTCTACAAATTTCAAAATCCAGAGCAACACCCCCCCCCCCCCCACCACCACCACCATCACCCACACCCATCTAATTAATTGGCAAACTTGGTTGAGTCTACCTCTTTAACATCTCTTAGGTGAAGCCCGCCAGAACCACTTCATCACGTCTCTGGAACTACTGCAACAGTCTCCTAACGGGTCTCCCTGCGCGTGACGTGGTTTCTTCCTTCTCTAGGTTTTCCTACACACAGCTGCCAAATTAATAATAGTAAAAGTCCGTACTTGACCATATGTCACTCTCCCGCTGAAGAAGCTTCAGTGACTCCTTCTAGGATAAAGACAAAACTCCTCAGTTTGGCATTTAAAGCTCTTCATAATTTAGCTCTAATTGATCCTTCCAGGCTGATGATTTTCCTCAAACACTCTATGGGTTATTCAAACCGACCTAACTGCTCTCTCTCTCTCTTTCATCTGCACCATCTGCATCTGCAAGGGGAAGCCCTTGTGGAAAGATCACAAATGTCAGGGGTAATTTTTTATTTATTTGTCTGTCTGTCTGTCTATCTTTGTGACAGGAGACTTCCAGACATTTGCTGGGGTTCTGTTCCTCTGACTGAATCAGAGCAGCTAATAAGTTCTTGACTTCTTTTAATGATTATTTCACACTTTAGAAGGTGGTGGAAGCAACAAAGGGAACTGCTTTTCTGGAGAAGGATGTGATTGCTGTGGAGACTAGGGGTGAGGAAGAGAAGAGGAATGATAGGCACCTTGGTGGGGATACTGGGACCCCAAGAATTGGTGATAGTAAAGGAGAAGAAAGCCAGGCACAGTTTTATGTGGGCCTTGGATTTTGAGAGAGAAGATTGCAAAGAGTTCAAAGAAAGGATGGATAGGACCCCTTGGCCAAAAATTCTTCAGAGGGGAAGTGAGCCTAGGAGGAATGAGCAGCTCCCAAGAATGAAATTCCTGAAGACGATGGAGAAGCCTAATTCCAATGAGGAGAAAAAGAGGGAGTTGTCAGGAAGAACCAATATGTATGCATAGGGAACTCACTGATCTTAGAATTGAGGGGGGGGGAAAGGTGCAGAAGATGAAAGCAAGCAGAGAATGGCAAATGAATTCAAGTGTGCCCTGATTCTGCGATAATCGTGTCAGGAACGCTGAAGTTCAGAACGAATTATGGCCACAAATGAAGGTTAAGGACACCAAAATGGGATTTATTTTTAGCAATGTTCAGAAAGAGAAGAAGATCCAAGACCGATGGTTGGGGCACAGATTCAGGGAAGGGAAGATTTTCAGATGAGGGAAAGCTAGTTAGCTAATCTGTTGGATGTCAGCATCAGGATCCCAAAAGCCTTGGACAGCCGACAGCAGCAGTGTGAATCTTAATAAAGTGCTATTCAATAGGGGAAAATAACAAGTCTCATACACTGGGGTTCAAAAAACCAGTTTTACAAATAGGTGATGGAAACCTTGTCTGGGCAGCAGTTCCTGTGAAAAGGATCTGGGGGCCTAAGAGGACTGTAGCCAGCTCAAGAGGGTTCAGCAATGAGACATGGAAGCCAGAAAAGTTAAGTAGGTCTAAGTCAAGACAGGACTAGCGTCTACTCTAGACCACTTCTGGCGTACTGTGTTCAGTTCTGGGTGACAGACATATTTTAGGAAGGTCATTGATAAGCTGAAAATCATTAAGAGGAGGTGCATGGGACTAGAGTTGTTTTGGAAAAAAAAAAAAAAAAAGTTACCTAGCTTGAAGGCTGTATGTATATGTAGGTGTGTGTTGGGGGATGGGGGTGGGCGACGGGGTGAAGAGGGAGGAGGGGTGGGAGGCATCCAGGGAAATGGGGCAGGGGAGGGGAAATCTGGTGGCAAGGGATAGCTGCCTGCATCCTCCTTTGAACTCGTGGGTGGTATGAAGGAATAATTAGACTCGTTCCGGTGCATAGAAGCAGATGTTGGCTTTTGTTGGGAGGGAAAGCTTCTTAACCATTTAGAGCTATCCTTAATCGCAACGAGCTGCTTCTGTGGGTGATCCCTCTCCCTAGGAAGAAGGGATTCCCCTCCCCCCCAACAAAGGCTGCATATGGGCACTTATTGGGGTATGTTGAGCAGTGTGAATTCTTGCCCTGGTACAGTTTGGATTAGGTGGCACCTGGGATCCATTCCAACTCCGAGATTTGGTGTTTTTTTTTTTTTTGTTTGTTTTTGTTTTCTGGTTTTTTTTTAGTTGAATCGAAGGGAATCAGGCAGAACGGTTGTTGTGGTCTCTTCACACATTCTTCTCTCCCCCTCCCCCCACAGCACTCCCTCCCCTTCCCACCACCGACCCGCCCCCATCAAAATCTAGGCCTTTCTTAGGTAGTAAACCGCTTGAAATTCAAAATGTGCTACTTTACTCCCTCAAATTAGTGGTCTAAGGACCATCCAAAGCCCCTTATGTCCTGAAGGGAGCTGCCCGTCCGGGATGCAAAATCCTTGCTGCATCTCATTCCTATGAATCCTTATGCCGAAATCGCGGAAGAGCCTGTGCTACTTCCTTCACTGAGAAAGACGAATTCGATGTAAACGTGAAGAGAATCTTTTTCGTTTTTGAATAAATGAGAAGTCAAGGGTGTGCATAACTATACTGTGGAGGAAAGGCCATCGGGAGTAAAAGGACAACTTTCGAATTTGAAGGAAACACAGGGAGTTGTCTCCATTTGACCTGAGTTTTGTGGAGAGTTAGGGGGATTGGGAAAGGCTCCGAGGGCAGTATTTGAGGTTGCAGAGAGAAGTTCACCGGCACACGAACCCAGGGTCTTCTCGCTTCAGATTCGGACAGAAAAAGCTCGATTGCGTGCCGGGAATTTTTGTATTTTTCCCTTTTTTTCAGGGGTAAGAAACACAACCATGAAGGAGAGCCGAGTGGCTGTAAGTGGTTGAGAAGGCGGGTTGCACAGCGCACCAATCACAGCACGACTCCCTCGTCTATATATACTCCCAGGCCGAGCACCTTGGGCTATAGAGACTGTGGTGGTCTGTCTGTCCTTGGTATTTCTGAAATTTTTGTTTGTTTGTTTGTTTTCGTTATTTGAGATAGAGCGAAGAAGCATGTCGGAGACTGCGCCCGCCGCCCCGGCTGCTCCAGCCCCCGCGCCGGCTGAGAAGACTCCGGTCAAGAAAAAGGCCAAGAAGCCTGCCGGGTCCGGAGGCGCCCGGCGCAAGGCTGCGGGACCCCCAGTGTCCGAGCTGATCACTAAGGCGGTGGAAGCCTCCAAAGAGCGCAGTGGAGTGTCTCTGGCTGCCCTTAAGAAGGCGCTGGCGGCCGCGGGCTACGATGTGGAGAAGAACAACAGCCGCATCAAGCTGGGGCTCAAGAGCTTGGTGAGCAAGGGCACTTTGGTGCAGACCAAAGGCACCGGTGCCTCTGGCTCTTTCAAGCTCAACAAGAAGGCCTCTGCTGGCGAGGGCAAAGCTAAGGGGAAGAAGACCGCTGCAGCCAAGGCCAAGAAGCCAGCTGGTGCTGCAGCCAAGAAGCCTAAGAAGGCGGCAGGGGCAGCAGCTGCCAAGAAAAGCGTTAAGAAGACGCCAAAGAAGCTCAAGAAGCCGGCTGCGGTGGGAGCCAAGAAGGCGACCAAGAGCCCAAAGAAGCCGAAGGCCGCTAAGCCGAAGAAAGTGGCCAAGAGTCCGGCTAAGGCCAAGCTGGTCAAGCCCAAGGGAGCTAAGCCTAAGGCAGCTAAGCCTAAGAAGGCAGCGCCAAAGAAAAAATGAAGGGTGCTACGGAAAAATTGCGCTTTCAGAAGCCTCAAAGGCTCTTTTCAGAGCCACCCCACGGTCTCTCTGAAAGGGCTAACACTCAGCATTCCTGTTGGGCGCGTCGGGGAAGGGGGGCGGAGGCTTGTAGAACGCACATGGCAGTGGGAGGAGTACTTGTCCGGGAAGGGGGGAGGTGTAGGATGTACATGGGAGTGTGAGGAATGCCTCGTTTTGGAGAAACACACTTTAAGCCCTCTTTCCCATGGTGGGGCGGGCCCCTTGGTACGAAGAGTTATACACATCTACCTCTGGAGCTGCAAATCTTTCTTTGCTCTTTGTTTACAGTAAGAGTCCTGTGCCATCTAGTGTACTTCTTGCGGAGCAGCAGGCCGGTCGACTTCTAGGCAGCGCGGGGCCTCTCTCGTAGCTCCACAGTGGTGTCGGACTGCTAGCTGTGAGGCAAGCTTCCTCACCCTACGGGGAGCTAGCTGGGGCACTTGCTGCAGCCGGCCGCTAGCTTACCGAGAGAGTACTCGCGGGCTGGGGCTGTCGGGGCTGTCTGTTTGAAAAAGTCCTGGGAGCCCGACGCCTCACTCACAGTCTCAACCTGCTCTGGCACTCGATTGGTTGGCTAACCTTCTCCGTTCCTCATTTGGGGAGGAGGGACTTTTTGCATTCAGAAATTTGTAGGAAGTGCAAATTCCACACTTTGGCAACTCCATCTAATGAAGGAGTTGGGCCACCAGAAAACCCCATCCAGCTAAGATGCTTTAGCTACACACCTACCACCCTACACACGACGAAGCGTTCGTTTTCACTTGCCCCACTACATCCCCAGCCCCTCAGAAAGCTTTTGCTTTTATTATCGAAGCTAACGCCACGAAGGGTTGAGGACAGACCTCGTTAACAGCTTTTTTCCTGAAACAATTGGGTGGCTCTGAAAAGAGCCTTTGGTTTCGGCTGTCTCTCATGAGCCCTTTTTACTTGCCCTTGGCTTTGTGGTGACTCTCGGTCTTCTTGGGCAACAGCACGGCCTGAATGTTGGGCAGAACACCTCCCTGGGCGATGGTGACTTTGCCCAGCAATTTGTTGAGTTCTTCGTCGTTGCGGATAGCCAGCTGAAGATGGCGGGGAATGATACGCGTCTTCTTGTTGTCGCGGGCCGCGTTACCAGCCAACTCCAGGATCTCAGCTGTCAGGTACTCCAGTACGGCCGCTAAGTAGACCGGTGCCCCGGCACCGACTCGCTCAGAGTAGTTACCTTTACGGAGCAAACGGTGCACCCGACCCACTGGGAACTGAAGACCCGCCCGAGAAGAACGAGACTTGGCCTTAGCGCGAGCTTTGCCTCCCTGCTTTCCGCGGCCAGACATGACGAACAGAAACTACTTTCTCGAAAACACTAGGGAAAAGATGCTGGCTTTTACCGTGTCGAAGAATGCAGGACTTCTTATACTATCAAACGGTAGGCTAAGCGGCGCTGTCCTATTGGCTCAAAGTCGCTTTCGATTAACCAGCCAATTGGGAAGTAGAACCGGCATCTCGTCGTTTGCATATGCTCCTCCCAATAGGAAAACGGCTTAGCTTGCTTCATCCAATCCGACGTTAGAGCTTCTTAATCTGCATTTGAATGCGCGCACTACAAGTAGAACAGACTAGTTAGACGAAGCTGCGTTTGAGTCTCTTCTCTGACTTGCTTGGATCACTTTCGCTCAACGATATGCCTGAACCCGCCAAGTCCACTCCCGCCCCGAAGAAGGGCTCCAAGAAGGCTGTGACCAAGGCGCAGAAGAAAGATGGTAAGAAGCGCAAGCGCAGCCGCAAGGAAAGCTACTCCATTTACGTATACAAGGTGTTGAAGCAGGTCCACCCCGACACGGGCATCTCCTCCAAGGCCATGGGCATCATGAACTCCTTCGTCAACGACATCTTCGAGCGCATCGCCGGAGAGGCGTCCCGCTTGGCTCATTACAACAAGCGCTCCACCATCACGTCCCGGGAGATCCAGACGGCCGTGCGCCTGCTGCTGCCCGGGGAGCTGGCCAAGCACGCCGTGTCCGAGGGCACCAAGGCCGTCACCAAGTACACCAGCTCCAAGTAGGCTACGTGGCAGCGGAGACCTCCAAACTACAACCCCAAGGGCTCTTTTAAGAGCCACCCACCCTCTCAAAATAAGAGCTTTAACTCTGTGCCATGTTACAGGAATCTGTGTCTCTGTGTGTGTGGCCTGTCCAGCCCCCTTGGGCTGTCAAGATGGGCTGCTTCCTTTCTCAAGGACAGCAAAGAGGGCAACAGGATTCCCCCTCCCCTCTGCTCCCCTCCTCTCCCCCAAGGGAGATTTGGTAGGGTGGGATCGCTTTATCAACACACCACTCTCCTCCTCCTACCTGTGACCTGCAAGTTTAATTCCGGACTTCACATTAGAATAGTTTTAATTTTAAGTCAAGAAATTTTTGATTTTTTCTAAATGAAAATTGAAATAATTATCTCTCTGTAATAAAACAACTTAAGTAACTGTACCCAGCTGTGTATATGTTATATATGTGCATCCCATTTGGTAGAGAGAAGTACATGTGGTCTAAAGGAGGACCAGAAAGAGAGCCCCTTGTTAAATCACACAGTAGGCCATGTAGGGTGTAGTGCAATTTTTAAAGCTTTCACTTGACAATGGAAAAACAAAGAATGGCTTAGTATTCTGTGTTACTCCCTAAGTACATACTGCTCTTTACCCTAAGCAAATGGCCAAAGATCACTTCCCTTCCTTATCTGAAAATATACAAAATACTTAAACTCTGGAAAACCTTTATAGTCACAGAACCATAAAATATTCAGCTTTAAATAAAGTTTATTCCTTTGTTGAAGTTCATACATTAAATGGAGTTGTGGTCCAAAGTATTTCATTGTGTGTAAGATAGTTAAATGGATGTACATTTTTAAAAAGTCTGCAGTGCAATCAGCGTAGTTATATGCTACTAGATTTTGATTCAGAAATACATATTTCTGAGTTTGAGTGGATCAAACGGGACAATTTGTGGATAGAGGTGAATGAAAGAACCTTTTGAAACAAGATTTTCCTGGGAAAGTATTTCCCCAAAGGAGATGATTTCATGAAATAGACAGCCAACCAGAAGAAAGGTGAGGAATGGAGGAGGGAAGGCAGGGACTGTCTTGAGCTCTCTCCCAAAGCCCTCCAAATACCTAAAAAAAATGGCTCTACACAAATTCTAAAACAGCAGAATCCACAAAAAGACAGGATGAAACAAATTTCCAGCCAAAGACAGCCTGGATGGTGGATGGGAAAGGTATATCAGGCAGGGCGGGGAGATGAGCACGGTTCCACGTGGGCGAGCAGTCCACAGCGACACTGGAGCAGGCCTCAGAGGACTGAATCGGGGCAGCTGTGGTGGTTTCCAGACCTCCCAACCCAGGAAGCCAAAGACAACTTAGATCAGTGGGAAAAGTCTGTGACTGTGATGAGAGAAGGAGCTAGGTCTCAACCACAAGTCTCCAGCGCAGCCCCGGGCCATGGCTTTTTCCTAAGTTTCCGCCCACGGACTGAGGGGGAATCGAGTTGCTGATTAGAGGGGGATTGCAGGGATCTCTTTGCCCGTGCTGAGGCAGGAATCTCTTGCTTTGCCCGTGCTTGGATCTGGGTCACAGTTCTGAGGGGCGGTCCTGGATTGGGGAGGAATGCTGGTGCAGTGGAGCTTGTTGTGGCTGTGGAGAGAAAACACCTCACCCCTTATCATACCACCATGGAAGAACTGAAAATTTACAGGTCCCTA